TGACGTACTAAAAATATGCATATAAATCTATATGCGATTGCACATCCTTGAGATCTTTATATATGTTTACTGTGTTTTTTATTGTACTGTCAGTGATAAAACTAATTCGTATTTTTCTAACAATACTCATCCATATACATTAGGGTGTCCCTTATTTTTAAAATGCTGAAAAGTCCTAACTCTTACCCCTCAAATATTTGTGTATACATGTAAAAAGTACCCTTAAAAAATTTCAGGTCGATCAGACAACTTTTAGCCGTGCCGACTTGGGGTTGAAAATCGACCGAAAGAGGTTGGGTTGAGTTTTCAACATTTTAAAAATAAGAGACACCCTAATATACTGTATATACAAGTGCTATGTCTCCAGTGAATTAAGTGAATAAACGAGCCATTGTCCTAATTTTTTTTGTTTAAATAATATCACCTGTTTTTTCTTGTGATCTACCTTCTCGACTACCTTGATTGACGTGTTAAGATTTAAAGGTATTTGTAGTTATACCAGCTAATATGTTAAAAAAAAGTGCACAGAAAATTGCTATTTTGAACAAAAATGACTGACACCAAACCGTTAGTTAGTTTTAATCAAGTTATTGGTAGTCCGGGTACATTTGAACCGGAAATGGGTCTTATCATTTTTGAATCAAAATTGAACTATATTTTTTTAGCGAATGGAATCGAAAATAAAGTACAAAATGTTACTTATTGAAAAATGTTATATAAATTAATAGTGGGGATTGTCCAATACTCGCGAGTGCGATCACCGGCACACACACACCATTAACAATTATATTGATTCTCAATAAAGACTTATTTTTCGTTTAACTGTCATATTAAAAAAAAAAAACATTTTCAATTAGCAAAACATTATAGGAGCATTTATTTTATGTAATGTTAAGAAAGCAAGTATTTTAAACACGATAAAAAATTGAACAAAAAATAAATTAATATGATATATTGAATAATATGTAGTAACTCTAAAAGAAAAAAAAGAAAATGGAACCTGGCTAAGCTACTATTTTTGTTATATTAATTATATTATTATTCGCGATATGAGTACCAGGGTTTCTAAGTGAGGTAAAGAATAATAGAAAAGTAAAGTGATCTTTATTTATTAGATTTACTATTATAAATTGTCACACAGTTTAACATCAATAATGCCACGAGTATTCATGGTTATCAATGATACATGGGATATAGTCACCTCGTGTGTCTCACTAAAGTAGTATGGTGGCTATATATGAACCTCCTACTTAACTCCTGAATTAGACATGTATCAATAATATAACTTTGTCAATTAACTCCATATAAATATTACTGATTAATTAAATATATTTGGTAGATTATAGCTTCGAAGCGAAGCTGAGAATTTTACTATGATGTGTTTTTTTTTTTTTTGTGTGTCTGTTACCACTTTTTCTCAGCTCTCACCGAACGGATTTCTTTCAACGATACGTCAAAAGATCGCAAATCGTATCTAATCGAAGACATTACCCTTATAAATTGAAAAAATTTCCCTCGTTCCCCGTAAATGGGGGAAACCTCCAAAAAAATTACAAATTTCAAAATCGCTAATTTTCGAAATTTTTTCCATGTTTTTTACTAAAAACTGCGGTAACTTTTTCAAAAATAATGTCTTTACTTATCATTTGGTATATTTTTTTTGTAAATCGGACCCTTTATCTGCCCACAAGAGGNGTTTTTTACTAAAAACTGCCGTAACTTTTTCAAAAATAATGTCTTTACTTATCATTTGGTATATTTTTTTTGTAAATCGGACCCTTTATCTGCCCACAAGAGGGGATTTAAAATGACAACTTTTTCACAAAAAATTAACTTTTTCAACTTAACTTTTGAAAATGTTCCGGAAGGTCTGACACTTTTATATATATCTTAAATTAAAGCTAATGTAATATACTTTAATTTGAAAAAAAAAAATTTGACCTCTGGACTTGTCTTCGTGGTGAAAGTTGACATCAAAGTTAATAAAAAATTACGATTTTTGTAAAATAATTTTTTTTTATATTTTTAACTTAATAATGCTCTAACTTTTTCAAAAATGAACATATCAATATAATTTTTTTTTATATAGATGCTTGATGTCTTTACTTATCATTTGGTATATTTTTTTTGTAAATCTGACACTTAACCTGCCCACAGGGGGGGATTTAAAATGACAACTTTTTCACAAAAAATTAACTTTTTCAACTTAACTTTTGAAAATGTTCCGGAAGGTCTGACACTTTTATATATATCTTAAATTAAAGCTTATGTAATATGCTTTAATTAAAAAAAAAAAATTGACCTCTAGACTTGTCTTCACGGCAAAAATAGCTACCGAATGCTATTTTTGTGTGAAAATTCTCGATTTTATATTTTACATTTTTAACTTTATAATGCTATAACTTATTGAAAAATGTATGGATCAANATTCAAATAGACTTTTTCACATAAAATTAACTTTTTCAACTTAACTTTTGAAAGTGTTTCGGAAATACTGACACTTTTCTTCTTCTTCTTCTATTTTTATCGTTAGTTTACTTTTTTTTTTGTTATTGTTTAATGAAAATAACAGAGTTTAAGAAAAAACCATAAATAAAATAAAACTAATATAGCAACTTGTTGACAATTAAAAAATTAGAAAAAACAATCTAGATTCAAGTATATCTTATTAGTTTATTTTAAATTAAAATTAAAAAATATTATTTGTTCAACCCTTTTACTTTTGAGTCTGCTTCTTTTTTCTGATACAACTTGGCTACCTTTGGAAAATACACATTCACTAGGAACAGAAGTACATTGTATACAAAAACGCCTTTGCCCTAAAGCAGAACCTTGGTGTACTCCTACTCTTACCCGAAAACCTTCTGTTACTCCTCATACTCTTTACCCTGGTACAAGTGCCATCATACATATCTTCTATTATATTAATGTACCTTTTCGGGATTCCTTTTCTCATTAATTTCCACTTTAAAACCTCTCTCGGTACTTTGTCATACGCTTTCTCCAAATGTAGAAATACCATAAACAGCTTTTTCTTCTTTTTCCTAAACTTTTCTATTAGTTACCTCACACGAAATACTGGCTCCATTGTTGACTTACCAGGCATAAATCAAAATTGATTTTTAGATATTGATGTCTCATTTCTTATTCTCTTATCTATTATATTTTCCCAAATGTTCATACTATGACTCATAAGTTTTATGCCTCTATAATTTCCACACTCCTGTATGTTTCCTTTACCTTTAAATATCGGCACCACAGTACTATTCCTCTATTCATTTGGTATTTTTCCTTTTAATAAGATTTTATTTAAAAGTTCCTTCAACCATCTTATGCCAACATCTCATAATATTTTCCATACTTCTATCTGGTTCTAATGCTTTATTCTTTTTCATTGATGATACAGCCTCCCATACCTCTTTCTCACTAATTAAATCTACCAGTCCCTCAAACCACGAGATATCCTCTAATGTCTCTTTTGGGTACTCCTCATTCAATAATTTTTCAAAATACTCTTTCCACCTTTTTTTCACATCATTATCAATCGAGAGTACCTTATTATCAACACTTTTTATACACCTTTTATAATGATAATTTTTAGACCTTTTCTCTCTTATCTTTGCAAGTCTATAGATTTCTTTCTCGCCTTCCTTTGTTCCTAACATATCACTACACAATACTGACACTTTTAAATATATATATTAAATTAAAGCTTATATAATATACTTTAATAGGAAAAAAATAATTTTTGAACTTAAGTTTGTCTTCATGGTGAAAATGACTACTGTATTTAAAAATATGCCATTTTTGTGTTATAATTGTCAGTTTTATTTATTATTTTAATTTAAAATAATGTTGGATACATATCGGTCGAATATGCTGCCAAGAAATTGTGTTGTAATTATTCATGTTATCATTGTGTTACATTGAGTTGATGTCGGTCTTCTTTCTATATCTGCGTTGTTGCCGCCATCTTAATGCTTCTTCTGCTATAAGCTCTATGGCATTTGCGAGTAAGTAGTTTTGTATTCGTTTTGTTGTAAAAGTAAAATATCACCTTTGCGATTGTCGCATTCTGTGCGCTCAGTTTATCGCCGTTGGGTCTATATATTTTCTGAGATACATCAGAGTACCGTTCACAGCATATTGTGTACACGTTGATCAGCTACTTGCATTCGACTTCAATTGATCCTTTTAATATTCAAAATTATCTTCAGCCGTTTCAATTAGCCGATAAGTATAATGCTTGTTCATCTATCTTTCTAAGACTTACTCACTTGTATAATTATTTATTTGTTTATATAAGCGCCTTTGTGGTATTAGTGTTCCCCCAATCCACATTGGTCTATATAAGATTTTATATTTCTTGTATAATACATTGAATTGTTATAATTTTATATTGTAAAATTCATTCTACAATCAAACATACAGTCCACTCACTTTATTCCTTATCCTCGACATAGCTAAAGACTTAAGACAAATTAAAACCGCGAATGCTAACGAACCGAGCGCTGCGTTCAAACAAATATCTTACAATAGATTTTGAGTTAGAAAAATTTTTTTTACTCACTTAGATTTAATAAATATCTAATATATTTAATAAATATTTAATACTTTAATGAATATCAAGGTACACATCATTATAGTCTCTCCTCGTGAAAGGAAATTTCTTATTCATATTAAAAAATTTTACTCTGTGGTTTTTATTTGTGGCTTTCATTTATTTTCTCACTTGACCAATTTTTTTTAACGATACGTCAAACGTTCACAACTTTTATCTAATTAAAGATATTATCCTCAAAAAAAAACTCCCTTTATCAAATAAAAAGTTGCTTAACCAGCTTTATCCATACAGACAATTAAAATTATTCATTTTAAATATTTTTTAAGTATTTATTGTCGACTTAGGTTTGAAATGATATGTTATTATTACAAAATTATATAATTTTTCTTTCTAATTTATTAATTTTTTAACTCTATTTGTTTGTGTTTCTTCCAATCTATAATAATCTAATTTTTTCGCTAACAAATTGCTTTATAAATGTAAATGCCAGAAAATTTTTAAAAATGAAGTGAATAAAATCAATACATTCGAAACCTAAAACAATTTATTTAAAATAAAGTATAAATAACAAACTTAAAGAATATTAACAAATTAAATAATTAAAAAGAAATCTTTATTGTAGCATACTTTTAGCATAATTCTTTATTTTGGTCCATTTACTATTAGAAGCTTGAATAATGAAAGATTTGTTCCGTGGGCATTTATTTTCAATGGCGTATTTTAAACATTCAAAATGGCCATTTTCAGCAGCAAGTGTAGCTGTATTATTATTCCATGGACATTTATGTGTATGAGCATATTTTAAACAATTTAACATACCATTTTCAGCAGCTGCTGTCGTTGTATTTTCATTCCATGGACACCCATGTTCGTGTGCATATTTTAAACATTTTAAATGACCTTTTGAAGCAGCGGCTGCCGTTGTTTTTTCATTCCATGGACATTTTTTTTTCGTGCGCATATTTTAAAATTTTTAACTTACCATTAAAGGCAGCTCCTATTGTTACTTTCTCATTCCATGGACATTTATTTTCATGTGCATATTTCAAGCATTCTAAATGTCCATTTATAGCAGCTGCTTTTGTTGTTTTTTTATTCCATGGGCATTTATTTTCAAATGCATATTTTAAACACTCTAAATGTCCATTTGCAGCAGCAGCTGCCGTTGTATCTTGATCCCAATAACATCCACTCTTGTGAGCTGTTATTAACATGTCTAAGTCACCATTTGCAGCAGCATTTTTCGTGGCATCTTTTTCAAATTGGCATGCTATTTTTAAATGACCATAATTATCAATTAATTTTTGATATGTTCGATTTTTATTTATATTACTAAAAAATGTCTAATTAAGAAACTGTCATATAAATTATAATTTTTTAGCTCTATTCAAAGCTGAGAAGGTATTAGTTTTACTATGATGTGTTTTTTTTTTGTGTCTGTTACCACTTTTTCTCAGCCTCACCGAACCGATTTCTTTCAATACGTCAAAAGATCTTAAATCGTATCTAGTCAAAGACATTATACTCAAAAATTGAAAAATTTCCCTATAAATAATGTAAAATAAAGTTTACATTTATTAAACATAAACCTTTGGTTTGATATATGTTTAAAGGACGCAGTATTTCCGGAACACTTTAAAAAGTTAAGTTGAAAAAGTTCTATTTTTTATACAATGTTTCAAGTTTTGAACGCCCCTATATATGGGGATATTGTCCAATTTTAATAAAAAGTATGTCAAATTAAATATGTACTAATAATGTATTTAGAAAAAAAAATTTGTGCCGATAATTACATTTTTCAAAAAGCTATAGCATTTTTAAGTTGAAAATTAAAAATTTTAAATCGAAAATTTTAACACAAAAATAGCGTTTTTTTAACTACGGCAGCCATTTACATACAGAAGATATAGTGTTGGGACAATTTTTTTTTTTTATTTTATAGTACATAAAATAAGCTTTAATTTGATATATGTTTAAAGGACGCAGTATTTCCGGAACATTTTCAAAAATTAAGTTGAAAAAGTTACTATTTTAAATCCCCCTCAATGAGGAGGTTAAGTGTTAGATTTTCAAAAAAATGATATCAAATGAAAGGGAAATATTTAAGGTTTTAGTATAAAAAAAATTATGTTGATTAGTTTATTTTTGAAAAAGTTATGGAAGTTTTAAAAAAAAAAGTGAAAAAATGACAAAATTAACCGATTTTTAAATTTGTAATTTTTTTGGATATCTTCCCCATTTGCGGGGAACGAGGAAAAATTTTTTAATTTTTAAGGGTAATGTCTTCAACTAGATACGATTTGTGATCTTTTGACGTATTGTTGAAAGAAATCAGTCCAGTGAGAGCTAAGAAAAAGTGGCAAC